ATATAACCATTGGTGCTAACTGATCCATTTCTTTTAAATCGTGAGCAGTCAAGATTTGTTTAAGGACACAAGGAATCCGTACACAATCTACGGTGACATTAAGAACGCCTATACTGGCGACTGTTCCTGTATTAATTAATCTGTTGTCGTTTGTGACAATACCAAAAATATAGTTCCTGTATTCGCGCCGTCACTTATTTGGAGACGGAAGCTCTTCACAATTGTCTTTCCGGTTTGCGGACGACCATTTACGCATAAACAAAAGACGCGTGCTGAGAGCTGTTCCCAGCGGTAGAACCTGCAACGTTTCGACGTTTCAGCAAAAATTTAACGAAGCTTTCAACACGTTATGTAACATGTCCATTAGAATTGCATTTTACGTCCGCCTTAGAACGTTTATTGTCAGTAAGATAGGCGAAATAAAAGATTAAGCATTCCGGGGATTGCGATTGATCCGTATCTGGCTATCCCATTTGCTTTAAGTCAGATACATTCGTGTTTTTCACATTTTATTCCCTTAGGACGCAGCAGAAAAGAAGGAGAGAGAGAAAGTAAAATTATTCTGATAAAGTCGGTAAGAAAGTTAAGCCTGTGTTTAGCATTGATCAGCCGAAAAGCACACTAAAAAGTAAATCTCTAATACGACATCCATGGTATCCATTCATTGTATTGTTCCGATATAACATTTAATGCATTGGTTTTATAATACAGACTCTTCATTTCACACTCGTTATTTTCGGTTCTGTTTTAAACTTTTGTCTATTTCCTTGCATCCTATTGGAATATATGGCTGTTACATACATGTATATGAAGATATTAGATACGTTATGATGTTACTTTCACGATGATTTTAAGTACAGGGTGGTGTTTCACATATGACGATTTGTCGTACAATGTCGTGCCTATACATGACGATATTTAATATGGTGTCGCGTTACATATACTATAGCGGCTGTTATGTATATGTTGATATTTAATATGGTGTCGCGTTACATACATGGCGATATACACTATAGCGACTGTTATGTATATGTTGAAATTTAATATGGTGTCGCGTTACATGCATGGCGATATACACTATAGCGGCTGTTATGTACATGACGATATTTAATATGGTGTCGCGTTACATACACTATAGCGGCTGTTATGTATATGTTGATATTTACTTTGGTGTCGCGTTACATACATGGCGATATACACTATAGCGGCTGTTATGTACATGACGATACTTACTATGGTGTCGCGTTACATACATGGCGATATACACTATAGCGACTGTTATGTATATGTTGATATTTAATATGGTGTCGCGTTACATGCATGGCGATATACACTATAGCGGCTGTTATGTATATGTTGATATTTAATATGGTGTCGCGTTACATACATGGCGATATACACTATAGCGGCTGTTATGTA